AATGGGGGGAAAAAGGGGGACATCTGTAATTCTTTCAACAATAAAGATAAATTTTAAAAAAGAAAGAAAAGAAATGCCTGTAAGAAGAGAAACTAGTTGGTATGAAAATAAATCCAAAATATCTATGGTTAAAAAAAACAAAACCAAAAACCACTATATATGGTATGATCTGTTTATAAATGTGTGCATATATATGTTTATGAAATAAATATAGAAGACTAGAAAAAAACACCCTTAGGGGTTGAGAGTTTATCTCTGAACATTTTTATATTTTCTTTATTCATTTCTAGATTGCTCAAATTTTCTACAGTACATGTATACTACTTTTTTAATCAGGAAAATGAAGGGGTTTTGTTTGTTTTTAATCTGAAATTTGGTCTAGGGCAGCCGTTCTCTGTTACAACGCACTCATTGGCTTTGAGAGAAACCTGAATCGTAGGCTGTCAATATTTCGAGGGCTTCTGACATGATCTGGTCCAACATGTCACATGTGGGGAAACTGGGGCCCAGGGGTGCAAGGGACTTGTCCAAAGTCATACAGGGAACCAGAGTCCCTAGGCTAGACTGCTAGAATGGGAAGGAGGTAGAAGGGAATCACACCTAGAATTTACTGTTTGTGGCTAACGTGTGTTCATTACTAACGTTGGAGTGAGGCCGTGAACGCCGAGTGTAGCCGACCTCAGAGACACACCCAGTGACAGCTGGAGCTGGGAGTGACAGGTGAGAGTGAGCAAAGGGCAGCTGGATGGGCGTGGAGCCAGCTAGGTGTGCCCCAGACTTCCACCTCTGTCCCTAAGCCTTGCCCAGTGGCGCTTCCTCCCCTGCAGGACTGCGGCCTCGCTCTCTGCCCGCGGCTGGACTCGACTCCGAGGAGAATGAAAGGCCTTCGCTGGCGCTACTCTCGGCTGGTAAGGGGACCTGCTTGGGCTGGGGGTTAGGTGGGGAGAGGTGGGGGAAGGTAAGCTCTCTGGCAGGGTGGGGCCTGAGCTAGGGCTGACCGCAGGCGGTGGTTTGCCCTCTTCCAAGTCCCTCCCCAGCTGGCCTGGGGTTCAGAGCAGGACTCAGAAAGCCAGGGCCTTAGCTCCCAGCCCCACGGTCCTGAGACCCTCAAGGAGCACAGGCTGCTGTTCCGTTTCTTCCTCCCTGGAGTGGGCGCCGGGTGGGGCTCTGCCCAGAGGCCTCACACAGCTGGGACCCCCTCCTGAGGCTTGAACCTGGGCAAGAGGAGAGCAATGTCCTGTCCATGTCTCGCCCTTGAGGTCTCTCCTTCCTATGGAAAGCCCCGAAGTCACTGTGTGTCAGTTGCTCGCGCCATGCACACACACGCGTGCACACACGCACCCGCACACTCTGGTACACAGTGGAAGCTTGAATGAATACATCTGCTAACATACATGCCCGCCGGCTCACATACATATATAAGGTGTCCCCCAAAATGTACACACACTTTAACAGCTGATAACTCACAACTTTCACTCCTCTTCAGGTTCAACCGATTTGAAATATCGGGTGAAGTCAGACTAAGCTCTTAACAAAGAAAATTTGTCCTAAAGTGCCACTAGACTTTTTTTATGGGGATACATGAAAAAGGAAGTTTATGGTACAAAACTGGCAACAGCCAACGAATTGAGGCCAGCTATCGAAGGAGAATGCGCACAAATACCGAACAAAATGACTCTTGAAGTTCGCGATTCCATCGCTTTGCGTTACAGCAGGGCCCGGATCAGAACGGTCATCAGTTTAAAACAGGCGTTGACAAAAAATTATTCATTTCTATAGATTCTTTTAAATTTTGAAAATGAACTGTATGTTAATAAACACTGACTTTATAATCATCCCAAGTGCATATACATTTTTGGGGACAGCCTGTATTTACACAATCCTGATTCACACTCACAATCACATTGATGGGTGAACACACAAAGTTATACTCAACACCTCTCACACTGATTTGCCTACACAACTCTATTTTAAGTGAACACACACATTCACACGGACGATCGCACATTTTACACAAAACTGCACATGCTTCACCTACGACTGCATGATCGTTTCACCAGCTGGTGGGAGCCTCACGTCTCGTGTTCTTCCTCTGTAAAAGGAGGCTATTAGGAAGCATATTCTTAGGATTCTTGGGGCAATTGAGAGAGATCATGCACAGCTAGCATTCACACATGCCTGCTCAAGTGTGTGCTGATCAATGTCAGCCACTCTGGTTATTATTATTGTTCTTATGAGTATGATCATTATTTCCTGTATAATCGCACACAGCACTCAGGGCCGGGCTGTCATCTGCCCGTCTCTCCTGGCCCCAAGCTGAGACCTGGATCCCTGGCACTCACCTTGGGCCCAGAGCAGACAGGCAAACTACAGGGCCCACGGCCACATATGATGGCCTGTGTGACTCCAGCCTTCAGCTAACAGGCACCAGAGAGACAGGGTCACGTCTGGTCTATGATGGACACTCTCCAGCCTCCTCTGGCTGGGCTGGGGCTGAAGCGGCCTGGGCAGGGGTGGCGGAGGCTCCCAGGCCTGGGAGATGTGGGAGCTGGTGTCTCCTGTCCCTGGACTCACCAGGCCTCTTTGTGTCTTCACAGCCCAGCCAGGTGGAGGACACTCTGTCTGAAGAGGAGGGTGAGGAAGAGGCAGAGGGGGAGGAGGCAGCCCCAGCCCCCGTCCCAGCTCCTGAAGATCCCGTGGAGCCCCAGTTGGCAGAAGCCAGCCATGTTCTGGGAGCCTCAGAGATCAGGCAGGTTCGGGCTGGTCTATGGCGCAAGGATTTCAGCCCTGATACTGAGAGTGCCACCCTCCTGTCCAGCCAGGCCCAAGGACACCTGGGGTCACTCCTGCTCTGAACCCAGCTCACTGTGTCCCCTTAGACAAGTTATTTCTCCTCTGGGGTTTCCTTTCCCACTTGTCAAATGATCCAGTAATACCAGTGTACCCTCTTCCCTGGGCCCGGAAGTTAAGGGTATAATGAAATAAGCTAATTTTTAAGTAGAACCAGCCCTTGGGAACTGAAACCGGAGTTGGGGTAGAGGTGGAA